TAGGAGGTCAAACCAGTAAATCTTAAAGGAAATGAACCCTGACTGCTCATTAGAAGGGTTGATAATGAAGCTCAAGCTCAGATACTTTGGCCACCTAATGCGAACAGAGGACTCTTTGGAAAAGACCCTGATGCTGGGAAAGATTGAAGACAAAAGGAGAAGGGGACGGCAGAGGATGAGATGGTTAGATAGCATCACTGAAGCAATGAGCATGAAACTGAGCAAACTCAGGCAGTGAAGGACAGGAAGACCTGGTGCGATATGGTTCATGGGGTCATGAAGAGTCGGACACGACTTAACAAATGAACAACAACAACCACCATCAAATCTGACTTCACAGCCCTGGAATTAACATTCTATTTTAATGAACAGTTCTTTCCCCCATTGGTCTATTAAATCAAGGATTTACTGTATGTTTCTTGATCCCTAACATTATGCACAGGATCAAATTGGACTTAAAATGCCTTTCCCAACCCTTGTTTGCCTCCCTCACATCAGAGAAATGGAGCTACAACAGACAATGCATATGTACAACTAATATTCCCTTCAGATATATAATATAGAAGCCAGTATCCAAGCTTAAGTTACGGTTCTTTTGCTTATTTTCTTTCCTTCGCTACAAAACTGTACTTTTTTTTTCTTAGTCAACAAACTGCAGCATCTTTAGATAAGCCGGTGTTGTTCTTACTTGAGAATGAGGCATCCAGCAAATTTTATTTCACCCCATATTATGGCTTTGTCCTTTCAGTTAAATTAAAGAGTGTGTTTGCTAACTCAAGGGGGATTAAAGCTGGGACAGTTTCACCTGCTCCATTGGCACAATTTTAGAACTTTACCTCTGATTTTGGAACAGGCCATTTCTAAATGACAGAAAGTGGGCCTCCTTCAAAACAGGCTATTCCAAGTGTGAAATGGAGGTTTCAGATAGATCTCTTCCAGCATTTGAATGCTTCCAGTGAGGTCAGAATGGGCATTTTTTTGACCTCAGAATGTTTTTCAGCCTTTACTTGATATCCACTTAGATATCTGAACCAAAGCAACCACCACTATCAATGTTTTTAAAGTTTTCTTTTGACCTTGATTCACATAGTGGTCTTCAGAAGGTCTTGACCAGCTTCAGCTGGCGCTAGATAGGAATGAATATTTGATGACAGAAATTAGTTTCAATGTCTTGAAATGGTTTCCTTCTAGCTACTAATATTTTTCTGAATATTAATGGTGAATTTATACCTAGCAATAGAACTGGAGCCCTGTTAGGCATTCAGTATATGGAACTCTGAAGCAAGTGTTTCTCTTAAGCAAATTGTTGTAGCAATAATTTCCTGAATATATGGTTTATTAATGCAAATCAGAATAGTTATCCTGAGCAGTAAGTATATGTCGGAATAAGAGCTGGGATGTTATGTCATTGTTATGCATGATCTTTATTTTCTTTGTGGTGTCTTTACAATTTTCTTCTCTAAATGGACAGTAGATAATGAGAAAATGTAAGCTGTTCCTTCTGATGCAGAAACATTTAAAAAATGCAGTTGAGTTAAATATATGGGATTCAGTTTATGGGTATTATGGGAAACTAGATCAGTTCAATTAAATGTTATTTTTAGTAAAAAGAACTGTTAAAATAGTATGTAATACTGATTAATTTCCCTTCAGTCTTCAGTTAGTTTGAACAGTCCTTACGATAGATATATATTTTGTTGATTTGAAATTGGCTAACATACATAATGATTTTGAAAATTTTCTAGAAAATGTGGAAGACAGTACTGATGAAGATGCTCCTTTGCATAGTCCTGGGACAGAAGGAAGGTGAGATCAGTGCAAACTATAGTCATTAAATTTTCAATATAATCTCTCTCAGTATTTTCCTTAACAGATTCTCAGGAAAATAGAGGTAAGCAAAGGGGATAAGCTGTTGTTGTAGATAGTTAACATATATGCATCCAATGAACTTTTTCTTTAATAATGAAGAACATGGTTTAGTTTGAGTTCTTGAGGATCTGCTTTGTATGTATGTATGTATGTCGATAAATATGAAGTCTGGATACAGCTAGGTCTCTCATATATCTGGATAAAAACAAATTTGTCCTTCCCACAGGCTCCTAGGGCCAATCACACTCCTTGTTAGTCTTTTTTAAGAATATGTAGAAAAATACAACATCTGGAATCATAATGCATACATATTCATGCAGCCATTACTTTGGGGAAGACTTTCATATGTTGAACACCTGTCAAAAAAGTAATAATGTGAAGAAAATTACATTTGAGTAAGAACATGTTTGGGTGATGATAATCAAAAGATGAACATGTATGTGTCAACCCTGGGATCTGACAGGCCCTGCCCTTTCAGCCTTCCAAAAGGTTTTGAAAGTGTGCTTTCTCCCCAAGCACTGGGATAAGGTGGGGCTGGAGCCTAGTGATTGTGAGTGTTTATGTATTGGAGAGTGTTATTTTAGGGCACTGGGAACTGTGTTTTTGGATGCTGGTTTTTATTGTTTCTTCTATGTTTTTATTGCTATTGATGTGAGCCATCCAAAGTTATGGCACATAAGATGGGTGGCCATATGCCTTTTTTTAGATTTTTTATCCTGCCTTTGTTTTTATAAATAACTCAAGGTGGTGAACATACCTAATGCTCCTTCCTCCTCCTATTTTCCCCACAACAGCAACCCTGTGAGGTGAGTTGGGCTGAGAGAGTGGGACTGGCCCAAAGTCACCCAGCTGGCTTTCATGCCTAAGGTGGGACTAGAACTCACAGTCTCCTTCTTGCTAGCCTGGAGCCTTCACCATTAGACCAAACTGGCTCTCTTTTAAATTGTTTATATATGCATGCCCCCGTGCGTGCACACCCCCCCCAACTCTGATAGAAACAGGTTGGTTGGTGCAACTGCTAGCAGAACTAGCTGCCTAAGAATGGTGGGAGGAGGGGTGCCTTGTTTCTGTGAGGTCTTCCCATTAAATGTATGATTTTGTTTGCAGTTCTTTATCTTCAGATCTTATGAAACTTTGCAGTGAAGTCAAGCCTAAAAATAAGGTAAGCTATGAGTAATAGCACAGTAAAGGTAAAGCACTCCTCATATTGAATCAAACTTGTAATGACTATGTGGAGACATCCTTGTTGTTTTTTGGTAATAATACCGAAGTGGCTTGACACTGTCTTCTTCCAGGATGTTTTCCAGTCTAGGCTATGCTCTGGGATTTCTGTTCTTCTCACATCCAAATACTAAACAAGTTCAACTTTGCTTAGTTTTTTTTGAGATCCATCAAGATCGATTAGCTGCTGCCACTTGTGGTGGTCAATAGTATGGCGCCATTTTATATAGCAATGTCATCATTGGTCCAAACAGGCTATCTCCAGTCCATTTGCACTCTTTCAAACTGCCCAGATTCAGAATGCTAGAAGGGGAGTGATAATCTCCTTTCTACTCCTATATCTTCTTCCAGGTTTTTCTAGTCTTTTTATGATTTAATTGATTGATAGAACCTGGAAGAAAATAAGAGCGTTTTCTTATTCAGAGTCCTTCTGTCATCGTGCTTTCTATTTTGACAGGAGGGACAGAAGAAAGTAAGAATAAGCTTACCTGGGTAGTGTTGTAGCCCATATACTACTAGCAGTCAACAATCCATGAGTGGAACTAGTTACCTTCAGACAATAGCTGCCTTTTTCAGCACAGATAATGAGGAATAATTTTATCTGGGGATCAAGTAAAGGGAACTGGTCTATCTTCATTCCAGACTATTCTGTAAGTACTGAAAAATTAGAATGTGTTACTGTATTGTTCTTCCTTTTCACATCTATTTCAGGCACGCCGTAGGACAACCACCCAGATGGAATTGCTTTATGCTGATAGCAGTGATTTAACATCAGATGTCAGTGCAGGAGACTCAGTTGTGTCTAGTCCTCTTGCATCTGTTGCAGAAACTCAAGAAAGTGGAATTGATTCTGACATGAAAGAACCTTCTGCCAGGGACAGAGAGGCCATTCTGTTGCTGTCACCCTTGCCTTCTAAGTCTGCCAGCGTGTAAGATTTGTACAGTGCACTGACTTCCTCTTGGCTCCTTAGCACATGTTTGGCCACATTTCATTTGGCTTCAGGATACCTGGAGATCAGCTTTCTGTTTAAAGGAACTCCAACATCTCCAGTGCAGTTGTCGTAGAATTCTAGTATTAAATGGTTCTGCATAGATATTCTTAGCAGATTCATGCTCCGTAAATCTGAACCCTGTCTAAAAATAGTAACAGAATAGAAATGAATAGTTTTATTTATTATATTTAGATATATAAAATCCAACAATAGTTAACGATATTGGTGAAAGATACGTGTTTGTTTGTTTGTTTGTTTATTTATTGGATTTCTCTCCCGCCCATCTCCCCTACAATAGGGGACTCTGGGCAGGTTA